ACCCACGGGTTGAAAAACCGCTGCCCTAGGGTAGGCCAGGCATAGTTGCAAAGTAAGCTTGAAAGGTGGGATCACAGAAAGAGCAAACTGTATTTCTTGTCTTTCTCTATTAACAGTTTCTTATTATAATACGCTGTTGGCTGGCAATGGGTTGATCTTCACTCCTAGGACCGCCTTAGGACAGGGTAGAACTGTCCCAGAGGGTTTTCCTAGCTGCGATCTTCATGGTAGCCCGTTGCCAGCCCTTTCTTCCACAGGACAGCTGAGTGGGTTCAAATGGTTAACCTTTAGCTTATTAGCTAAGTGCTTAACAATTTGCATCAACCAGGACCTGAAAAAATATATACATATGAGTCAATATCACGTAAACTTGAACATTTTTCCATCAAAGCATAATACTGATGTCTGAGGAAATTCTGAAACAAGAAGGTAAAAAAAAATTGCATATCTTAGTTTTCAGATTTAGTGTCAAGGTAATTTAAAATGTTGTCTGTTTTTTCATAAAATGTCTTTTAGAAAACATTTTTTCTAAATGTTTCAGGAAGGACCTTGCAAGGACAATTTTGACTGTTGGTGGTAAGTGGTGTCCAGAATTGTAAATGTTAGAATAAACAAATCTTGGACATGAAGGGTGTTATGAGCATCTTGGAATTATGGGAAATAAAATTTTGGTTCAAATAAAATTAGGAGCAAGGGTTTTATTTGAAATTTATGAAGAGAGATTTTTATGTGCTGAAAACCATAAGGAATAACCAAAAATATAAAACGAAACTGGCATCTCTCAAATCAACCCTGACTTACGTGACCCTATAGGACAGAGGCAGAACTGTCCCGCGGGTTTCTGAGTCTCTAAATCTTTACGGGAGCAGAAAGCTTCGTCTTTCCCATGTGGAGCAGCTGGTGGCTTCCAAGTGCTGACCTTGTGGTTAGTAACTTAACAGGGCTCCTCCCTGAAAGATAAACCCCAAACCACACTCACTGCAATACTAACTCATAGTGACCCCTACGGGCTTCTGAGACTTGTGGGGTAGCAGCCCGCAGCATCGAATGGGTCCAAGGGGCAGTTGTGTAATTAAGAGCCATGATTTGAGGAGCCAGGTTGGTGCAGAGAGAGAATATGTTTCCAACAGAGGCTTATATATTTAGGGGGCATGCAAGCCCCCTAATTACAAGTAACCACATACGTAACAAAACGGGCTGTACCCTAATCCTGAAGGTCCCTGAGTACATAGGAGTAACAACACCAGTACTGGGGGCAAGGAAGGGGGAGTGGCTGTCTCCAGAGCCTAGAGAGCAATAGCATGTGTCGGCCTCTATAGTTAAAGCTGCCAACAAAGCCGCTGGCTAGATGGCAATCAGTCATGTGCTTTTAAGAGGTCACCTTAAGGTAGTACATTATGGGAGGATACAGTGGGGAACAGTATTAATTATGGGAATGTGATTGGGACTCACCTCCAACTCACAAGGTTGAAGACCTCCCTCTACCCCCAGAAACCCAGCCTGCCAGACTTCTTTCTTTTTTAATTAAAAAAAATTTTAAATCATTTTATTAGGGGCTCATACAACTCTTATCACAATCCATACATATATCAATTGTGTAAAACACATTTGCACATTCATTTCCCTCAGCATTTTCAAAACATTTGCTCTCCACCTAGGCCCCTGGCATCAGCTCCTCATTTTCCCCCCTCCCTCTCCACTCCTCCCTCCTTCATGAACCCTTGATAATTTATAAATTATTATTTTGTCATATCTCACACTGTTTGACATCTCCCTTCACCCACTTCTCTGTT